CCCTTTCCTCTGCTCCTGGTGGGGATGTTATTGCTGGAGAGCTGGTTGCAAGGCACGGAAGCGGCTGCGTGCATGTTCTGGTCTGGGCAGCTTAGCCTAAAAAAGAAAAAAAGGAAAAAAAAAAAAAGGAAAAGAAAGAGGAGAAAACCCCAAAAATTTAAATTTGAGTTTGCTCTCATGGGGGAGTTTCTGTGCTGGGTGCTGGCCCCAGGGAGCAGCGAGGGGCAGATCTGGTAGGGCGGCCTCCAGATCTTTTACATCGTCCTTTTGACTCCTCTGTCAAAACGCGTGTTTCCCCCCCTCCCTGAAGGAAAACCGTCTGTTCCCGCTGCCTGGAACCCCGACCTGCCTGGCTCCCTCCCGCCCGCCCGGGGCTGTTGCTCACCCAGACCTTATCTCGCAGCCGCCCGGATGCCGCAGTTCTGCGTGATCCTTCCCACTCCTGGGGCTTTGGCTTCAGCTCTTCTGATCTGAGCTTTCTCCTGGCTCCCTGCAGCTCGGATGGAAGCAAGAGTCAGGTTTTAAAAGGGCCTCTTAGCAAGAGTCGAGCACGATTTCGACCTCGTCTGGCTGCAAAGGCTGCTTGTAGCCCTGTCAGAATAGCTGAAGCAGCGTAACTGTGCAGTGCAACTTAATCCTGCATGTGCAAACCAGAGAATAAGCTAAACCAGTAAGTCGTGGTGGTGGTACCAGTCTGTCCACATCCAAGAGAAGTGCCCTGCGCTGGGTCGTGGTGTAAAAACCCTGGGGATGTCTTGATCCAGCTGGATCGCAGTCCCGGATCGCTGTCCCCGGGTTAAGGGCTCAATTGCTGACCCGAGAGCCACGCGTCGTGCTCTCGCCTGGTCCTGCCGCTGCCCGGTCTCCAGCAAACTGCTTCGCCCCAGCACCTCGGGCATCTAAAATCAAGGGGCAGGGAAGAAGCCACGCTGTTAATGCTTTGAGAAAGCTGTTCTTGGAAAAGCATAGGGCAGCGTTTGCTGTAAAAGCCTGTAAATCATTCCTCTGGCTGGCTTGCTCTGACGAATTCGAGTAGCTGCAAGTCAAGACTGTACTCGTTGGCATCCTGCAGCGTGGCAGAGAGAGAGCCGGGGAACAGCAAGGGTCTTCAGCCCTTCAAAGGTGAAGGCGATGACTAATGCATGAAAAATCAGTAGCGTCTCCAGATTGTTGCTTTTCTTTTTTTTTTTTTTGTAATTTTTATATTATTTTTTTTTTCTTCCCATGATCGTGTGGGACAGCTGCCTCGCAAGGATCGTATCTGCCAGAGACGGTGCTGCTTGCAGGCAGGGCTGTAGTAAAACCAGAGGGTCAGGCTGGCAGAGAAGCCATCGATTGCCTGTCGGTGCAGGGCATCGTAGCAGCCGCTGCGCCTTCATTTGGTATCTGTTAGGCTGAGTGACATTGTCCGTGCAGATCAAGCTAAATTGACTTGCCTTTGCCAGGCTAGAAGTTCTTTGAAGAAGCTGCGGGAAGACTTAAGTAGTAAACTTGAGAACAGACAAGGAGATAAACAGCACGCACAGGTAACGGGAGCATTTCTCGGGCGTTAAATGACGTTGACTTATTAAAAAGATGCCATCTTCGGGTCCGGAAAATGATAGAAGGGGCCTTAAAGATCAAGGCGCTCGTGGCGAGTGACAGCCGCGCCGGCACCGTTGACAGGCAAAATTCAAAACCTTGCACGAGCATGTAGCGAGGAGTCAGTAAGCAAAACGCCTTGGCTGGCCAAATGCACTTTTGCATGTTCGTTTGCAAACCCCCCCTCGGTCTCGAGTGGCTGCGGTGCCCCAGAGCTCCCTGTCTGCATGCCACTGCGTCCTTGCGCGAGCGGCGGCGCCGGCCGGTGTTCCATCCCTGTCCGTCTGCCCTTCGCTTACCTAGGTCGTGCTGGAAAAGCAGAACGGGAGCTGGCTGTACCCCGAGAGGCTGCGTACCGATTCCTGGGAGGACCAGGTATGGAGCTAAAGAGGAAAGAAATACCGGGTTTAGTTTGGTATCCCCCTCCCAGCAGGTGACTTCGAACCTGTTCCGCACATGATCAAGCGCACCTACAGCGAACTCTAGTCTTTTTGTCGGGGCAGATCAGAAACGGAGGGCAGCTCTGTTAGAGCAATAAAAATGTGCGTCGTGGGTTTTTAAACCTCTGCGCACGAGAACTTTTTAGAGAAGGGATAACAGGAACCTTAAGCCGGTAACTATTTTGCCAGCTCCTCGTCTTTCCCCTGGCTGGGGCAGATGCTCTGGGCTGGGGTTTCGGGCTGGGTTGCTGCGGAGCTGGTTCAGGTTGCGGGGTTTCAGGTTGCCCAAGCGCGGATCAGGATGGCACCCTGCAAACAGGGCTTGGAAGGCAACCAAAGGATACTGTGTGCGTTATCTCGAGGGCTGGAATCTGTTGCTGGAGTGTGGGAGGTGAGGACAGGAGCGCCTTTCGTCTTTTCACGCTGAGAAGTGATGTTACCAGGCTTTGTCACCAACTGCGCTGCCCACGTTGGGGCGGAGGGCTCCTTTGATACCTCCCGACTGCTCACCCTCTCCTCTTACTGTCTCGGCAGGAGGAGGACTGCTCAGGTGAAGACGTGGAAAAGATCCGACAGACGGCAAAGAGGCTGTTCACGAAGCTGCAGGAGGCTGAAAAACGCCATCAGTTGGAAAAGAAATCCTTTGAGGTGACTATGCTGCGCACTTCTCCGCTGGGAAAGTGTGATTTTTATTTTATTTTGGTATTTGCTTTTCTTTTTTGGAAGTCTGAGGAGCTGCATGGGCACGCGAGTTTGGGCTGCCGGAGGGGTCTGACTGCTGCTTGCAGAGCAGCGGGCTCAGCGCGCGCTGTTAAAATACACGGGGGAGCCCAGGCTTGGCCAAACCCCAGCAAACTGGTTGCCCAGACGAGTCTGAAGACATAAATGCTTTCCCAGTTAAAAAATCACATAAAATAAAAGCGGCAGCCAGATTGGAAGGCAGTCCCCCCAAACTCTGCCGAGCCTTTCCGACCGTAGCCAGGCTCGGTGTGTGAGAGGGGTGGCTCGTGGGGGAGTGGGGACCCCCGGGATGTCCCAGCAGGTCGAGCGGGGACCAAGTCTGCGGTTCCCCACCACGGTGCTGGACTGCTGCGGTGGTGCTGGCCATTGTGGTCTCTCTTGGAGCTCAGCCTCTCCATCTGCGGGGCTGTTTGCTGTCGAGGTGGGCGAGCAAACCGGGAGGCACCCGGACGCATCGCGCGGGTCTCCTCGGCTTCTGCCTGCCAAGCGGTGCTGATGAAGCAGCCGCATTCACTTCCCTCCCTCCCTCAGCCCTGGTGATTAATGGTCCCCTTCGGTGTGTTTTCTAGTGACTGCTCATGTCCCAGATGGGCTGGGCCTGACGGCGTCACCCCGCAGCTCCGAGCGCTGGTGGCAGCGGTGACGTCCCGGCTCGCATCCTGTCCCGCAGACCAAACTGGTCCTGGCCAGCCTGGGGGGTTCCCCGCAGCAGGACGGGGGACAGCGTCCGCTGGGGAAGTGGGTTTGAGCGGTGACAGCTTCCTCCAGCACGGGGACGTCCGCCTGCCCGCAGCGGTGACACGTGCCCCGAGGACATCTGTCCTTGCGCACAAGAAGTTGTGTGGTTTGGTGGCATTTTGGGGTCTTTGGTCAGCTGTGATGGTGACTGCAGGCTGTAAGCCCGGACGGAGGTCCTGGGGGTGGCAGGGGCGGCTGTTTTGGCAGTTGCTGGTCGTGCCAGCACTGCCCAGATG